CAGACAGACGATAGATAGATAGATAGATAGATAGATAGATAGATAGATAGATAGATAGATAGATAGATAGATAGATAGATAGATAGATAGATAGATAGATAGATAGATAGATGATAGAATGATGAACAGACATAGATAGGTAGACAGACAGACAGACAGACAGACAGACAGAGTGGCAGTGTGAGTAGCAGTGTTCTACATACGCTCTGGGGTTTGTATGTCTGAATCTGCTATAATCTGTCACCCATTTTCCAGGCTGAACCCCTCAGAGAGGCTGGGCCAGAGGAGCGGGGTCAAGGACATCTGCAAACACGTGTAAGACCTACTCTTCATCAAATAAATTTGTACACAAGGAAGAAAAGGGATTGGTGTGTATGTGTGTGTGTGTATGTGTGTGTGTGTGTGTGTGTGTTTGGGGGGGTTTGTGAGATTAGATGAGAGTGGAAAAGAAAAGAGCAAAGAAGAGGAGAGGATGCTGTTCTGTTTTTAAGTGCTGGCTTATTTTCTGGACTGATTAACTTGTGTTGTGTTTCTCAGGTGGTTTGAAGGCTTCGACTGGGAAGGACTTCAGAAGGACACAATGACTCCACCAGTAATACCAAACGTGAGCGGCATCACTGAACACTGTAGAGTTGAGAGCACTCTATTCAGCTTACACTTTTATAACAAACACACCTTTCAAATGATGCATCTGTCCAGTTTGAATAAATGTAAACTTTCTACAGGTTCCTTGTGTCTCTGATCACGGAAGATCATCACTCCTGCCAGAAACCCACATTGAAGCAGCACCATTGGATGATTCTGGCTGGGATGTAGACTTTTGATTTGTACAATGGTGATATGGATGATGTAAATTGGAAAAAATAATGGACTCTGGTGTTTATTTTGCATTAACTTTGCAGTTGATTATTTTAAATATTTTCTTCAGAGTTGAAAACCAATGTAGGCGACGGTACACAGCTTCAGGACTTAATAATCAACCCTGGAACTACAATGCACTTCAAATGTCTCTAAGAAATGCAGAAATTGTATGTGATTCCTATTGGATTTCTTTCTATGGAAGCTTATTGCTGCCACAGAATAGAAATATAAAAATGGTATTTATATTTCACTTTTTTCAGGATTGTGATAAATAGGAAAAGACCACATTTTGAGATACAAACTCGCAATTATGAGAAATAAAGTCAGAATTCCGAGATAAAAAGTCACAGTTACCTTTTAATTCTGACGACTTCTTGCAGTTGAAAGTTTTTCTCACAATTCAGATTTACCTTCTCAGAAGAGTAAGTTTTTCTCTAACAATTCAGACTTTTCTTCTCAGAACTGAGTTTATATCTCACAATACTGAGTTTATATCTTGTATTTTTATTCTGTAGCAGAAATAAGCTTCCATACAGTGGGGAAAAAAAGTATTTAGTCAGCCACCAATTGTGCAAGTTCTCCCACTTAAAAAGATGAGAGAGGCCTGTAATTTTCATCATAGGTATACCTCAACTATGAGAGACAAAATGAGAAAAAAAATCCAGAAAATCACATTGTAGGATTTTTAAAGAATTTATTTGCAAATTATGGTGGAAAACAAGTATTTGGTCAATAACAAAATTTCATCTCAATACTTTGTTAAATACCCTTTGTTGGCAATGACAGAGGTCAAACATTTTCTGTAAGTCTTCACAAGGTTTTCACACACGGTTGCTTGGAAAACATTTTAAATAATCCTTTTTAGGACTTTAAGAACACATACTCTATTTCTTAATGGAAATATTATTACTAATGGTGTGGTCACATATTGTTCTGTGAATTTTTGCAGGTGAAATCCTGTCATTTCAACAGGAATCCACATGAGTGTAAATTTCGTGTGATGGCGAATGATTTCCTCATGCAGATACAATAGACAATGGACCTTTTCTGCCTGCGAAATCTTGCCAAAAATGTGACTGTCCCTATAGGACATAAAATAAAAACTGAAAGAAATTCTACTTTCAGTAGTTTAAACCTCCTATAGTTCTCATCGACCATACGACTATATTTCAACCTTATTTCTAAACTGAATAAAATGGGTTTTGTCTTTATTTTCCTATTGACAGATTCTCTACAGTCCTCATATATTGTATGTGTATGTGTATTTGCATTGCTTTGACCATTCTCTGTAGATCCCTACTTCTCGCACGCCACGATTGGTCGATTTTGTATAATGCCTGCACGCTATTGGTCAAACTTTTTTGTTTGAAAAATCAAGAATGGACTGAAACATATCCTTTTATTGAAACATTTTGCCACATACATTTGCTTTTGCCGCTCAGACCTTTTATATCCTATATGTGTAGTATTTATGTATGATAATCCACGCAGCTTTCAGTGGGCGGGACAGTTTGAAATTATTAATAAAGAAACATGGATGAATGAGAAAGTAAAGAGCGGGATGTGCTTGATTAAAAAGAAACAATAAAATTGCAAAAGAAGCCGCAAAAGAGGACTGAACATGGTGCAACCAAACAGTCAAATACACACAGCAGTCTCAGTGACGTCACAATGACACGACTTCTAAAGATTCGCATCTTCAGTCTCACACCGCTTGTCTACATAAGACGCCAGCAGCATGACGCGACAGGATAATAGATAATAGAACACATTATAATCCGTGATACAAACACACGCGTATTCAATTTTTTAACAGATGCATTTCTGGTCTCAATTTGTAGCGTTTTATTTCGCACAATTTATACTTTTGTAATTTCTATCATGGAAGCGGGCACATGACAAAAGAACGAATGACTCAAACCCGAAGTCTCGAGAGGTGAACTAATCAATTCTGTTTCCGATACAGACTGCATTATAGCCTATGGGATTGTGACGGGATGAACGAATGACTCAAACCTGAAGACTCAAATGATGAACTAATCAATTCTGTTTCCAGTACTTACTGCATAGCTGCAGCTTACAGGGATGTGAAGTGACAAAAGAACGAATGACTCAGATCTAAACTAGACTGCATAATTGAGGTCTTCTCGGGTCCTAAATCTGTAGGCTACTCAACCCGAATCACTTCTTACCTGAACCTGATGTGTATACATTTTTTCCTTTAAAAGAAAAACCTGATCCGAGTCCGACCCAAGCTGTAAAGTTAAGTAAAGAAAAATCCCTGTGTCCTGTTGACTGATTTGGCCACTTCTCCATTACTTTGATTTATTTTACATTTATTTAATTTATTATTACGTTATATTACTGCTTGCCTGATGGATACAAGTTATTTCTGAGTTTGGCTTTCAATTGTGACCAGTGGTTTGGAAAAAATAAACGTGATAGCTCGATAAAAATGAAATCGATATTCTAATAAATTATGGATTCGTGTTGTCTGCTCTGCAATGCTATTTACCTCATCTTCCGGCGAAGGGATTCTGCACACAAAAAAAAACCTGCCCTGCATGAGCACGCACTGTAATGAAGTGAGTGGCTTTTCCTGATGGATCTCATATCTATAAGATGGATTTCTGTGTGCGAGGTTATGAACATATGTTCCTTTTCTATGTACAATTCTCAAAAATGCACTTAACACCAATGCACAATTCCGTTAAAGGGATAGGGTCTTTTCGGGTCCATTAGGAAAAAGCACATTAATTTTAAATGACCCGAGACCCAAGGCAACTAAAACCGAACCCGACCCGTGTCTGAGGCACGTTTTTGGACCCGAACCCTCTCGGTTTGGACCTTGGGTTTTCAGATCCAAGTGGACCCGTTACTGCATAGCCTCAATGAATTAATTGTTTCTGTTTCTCATAATATGGCCTTGGTTGCATTATAGTTTATTTTTCTTATTTTAAATGTGATCAACTAAGTAAGTAGATGTGTTGGGGAATTTGGTTATTAACATGTAACATTTTAATTATATTCTGCTGAAATGAACGAAATAAAATGACTTGGAAAAAAGATTTCAGTAAAATGATCTGAACTTCCCGTCACTAGGGTGTTTTTTTGGTGAAGCTTCATTCTGCGAGTTTGTGTTTAGGACTTGCAATTCCTGCGAAGGACTTGACGTGTCTGCTGCTTCAGTTTGTGCCGGCACAGACTGGCACCCGGTTTACTCATGCACACCCTGGGGTGAGGCGCTAGCACACGCTTAGATTGGGTGTAAGGCAGCGCTTGAGGATCCCCTGTCCCAGGCAAGCACGTGAAGCTGGCCCTCTCCTCAACATATACACCAGGTTCACACATACTCTGTCTGCAGTGCGTATGTTTCAGCACATAGAGTGGTTATGGGGAATGTTCCTTCCTTTGTTGGGCCGGTTAGGTTTAGGAATGGGCTGCCTCCCCAGGCTTCTGGGTATTTTTAAGTGGGCAGTCCCTCTGAATCCTGCTTATTTAGTTTGAGCTAAGTAGATTGTTCCCCCTCTCCACGACTTTAAGTGAACAACCCCTGCTCAGAGTGTAGCTCTCTGCAAATAGTTATGCTCCAGCACAAACTTACTTTGCTCTGGAATATAGCGGTCTGAGGGCAGCTGTGTTCTAGCCTGGCTTCTATGACTAGGTTGGGTTCCCCTTGGCACAAGCTCTCTCAAGTAAGTGTTGAAGTGTTTGTCTAGGAATCTGCTATTCGAGGATAGTTGTGTTCCAGCTCAGAGACTGATCCGCTTGTTTTTAAGTAGTGGTGTCCTTGAGCCCCTTGCCTAGACTATGATGTCTCCCCTGTTTGTGTTTTAAGTAGATGGCCCACTTCCATGGTCTGGGCAGTCTTCAGCCTTATCTGAAGGAACTGCTATTCGAGGATAGCTGTGTCCAGTCCTCTAGTGTTATGGGCACTGCTTGTATCAGGCTTTGATCTTGGACTAATTACTGGACTAATGTTTTATGTGTTCGCTCTTTAGCGAATCATTTAGTGATGGTCCGGATCACCCTCTAGTGAGCTTCTGGTCAATAACATGGTAGTTGCCAGCCTCTATGGGACTGACACTGATTGGGGACCTGCATAGTACAGCCATCTGAGGATGGTTATATTCCAGCCATTGTTATGGCAGGACGGGCTTACTTAATACAGCTATCTGAGTCTAGCTGTGTTTTAGATTGCAGTTGCAGTGAGCCCTTTCCTGAAAACATAGCTATCTGAGGATCGGTGATTGCTCCCCTGCTTAGGGTTTCTAAGTAGCTGTCTCCTTGAACCCTTGCCTAGATAGCGCTGTCTCCCATTATATGTTTTTTAAGTAGACAGTTCACTTCTGGTGGTCTTGGCAATTGCAGCGGCCCCCTTTCCTAGAGTCTAGCTATCTGAGGATAGCTATGTGCAAGCTCAATGATTCTACGAACATTTCATAAGACCCTTAGGATATAGCTATCTGAGGATAGCTGTATTCTAGTTCATCAGCTACTCCCCTTACTTGGGCTTTGAGTAGCAATCTCTTTGAACTTCTATGTAGAGGTTTGCCTCTTCAGTAGTCTTGTGAATCCAGGTTAGTATTGCTCACATAGCATAGCTATTTGAGGATAGTTGTGTTCTTAACTTTGGTTTGGATGTCCCCCTGTATCTGAATTGGGTTCTCCATTTCTGCCAAGTTATGTGAGCAGCCCAGGGCGTCAGTGGCTTGGCCCCTTTCTGAGGAAAGGCTTGGTGTATGTCTGTCACTTCCTTGGTCTCTCACCAGTTGGACAGGCATGCGCCTCAGCATGGCATAGTTGGTATTTCATTCCCCATAATGTCCGCTAAAGGACGCAGCGTGAGTTCCCTAGAAGGGGAATGTCTCGGGTTACGCATGTAACCATGCTTCCCCCCCCCCGAGAGGTAACGAGACACTGCATCTCCTCGCCATGCCTTCAGCCTGCCTGGTGATGCATTCAGCAGGTGCCCTTTTATACATACATAACCTAGTGAGCCTTGACCCCCAATGGAGAGGGGAGATTAGAAGACTCATAAGCAATGGAAATAGCATCCACTATCCACCTGCTTATGGTTTGCTTGGTCGCAGGGAGACCTTTCTTAGGAGGACCATAGTAGACAAACAACTGTTCTGATTTTCTCCACAGGGCACACTGGACACATACAGTTTAGCTTTTCCTTGTCTGTGTCCCGAAAGGGAGGAGGACAGAAGGCTTGCAGCACGAATGGCCGTGGAACCAAGGAGGGCACCTTAGGAACATACCCTGGCCTAGGGTATAGGAAAGCTCTGGCAATGCCAGGTGCAAACTCAAGACAAGAAGGGGCCACAGATAGGGCCTGAAGATCACCCACTCTCTTAAGAGAAGAGATGGCTAACAAGAATACAGTCTTGACTGTAAGGTACCTGTCCGAAACCTCCTCCAAAGGTTCAAAAGGAGGTCTACAGAGAGCCTCCAGAACCACGGCCAAATCCCATGGTGGAACTCTAGAGCATGCCGGAGACCTCAACCTCAGGGTACCATGGAGGAAACATGTAACTAGCAGGTCTCTCCCCAAATGACTGGCCACCAAGAGGGCCGTGGTAAGCAGCTAAGGCTGCCATGTATACCTTCAAGGTGGAGGGGGATAACGCTGCGGAGAACCGTTCCTGCAGGAACTCCAGCACTGAACCAACTGGGCAGTTAACTGGGTCCAGCTGACGGTTGCCGCACCAAGAAGTGAAAAGACACCACTTTGTGCCGTACGATTTCCTCGTGGAGGGAGCTCTGGACTGGAGTATGGTCTCAACCTCGGTTGAGAGACCGGATACTAAGAGCTATGCCCCCTCAGGGACCATGCCCACAGCTTCCATAACTCTGGGCGGGGGTGAAGGATGGAATCCCCCGCCTGAGAAAGGAGGTCCCTCCTGATCGGAATCTCCAGGGGAGAGCTGTCGAGAAGGGACACAAGGTTCGAGAACCATACTCGGGCCAGCCAGAAAGGGGCTACTAGCAGAAGACTGACCCCGTCCCAGCATACTCTCTCCAGAACTCCCGGGAGCAGAGCGATCGGGGGAAACATGTACAGACGAAGCCTCGGCCATGTCTGAACCATGGCTTCCAGTCCGAGAGGAGCTGGATGAGTCAGAGAGAACTAGAGGGGACAGTCTGAGGTATCCTGCGTCGCAAACAGATCCACCTGAGCCTGGTCAAACACTTTCCAAATCTGATTCACCACATCGGGGTGGAGTCTCCATTCCCCTGGCCTCGGCCCCTTCCTCGACAGGATGTCTGCTCCCTGATTGAGATGCCCAGGGATGTGCACTGCTCTCAGGAAGAAGAGTTTCCCTTGGGCCCACAGGAGGATCTGGTGCACCAGGGGGTGCAAACGTAGACCTCCCTGGTGGTTGATATAAGAGACTACCACTATGTTGTCGGTGCGGACCAGCACATGATGGCCTCTCAGGTCTGGGAGAATGTGTTTCAGCGCCTAAAACACGGCCAGCATCTCCAAGCAGTTGATGACTACTCCCCAACCGGTGAGGGACGCGTTCATCGTTAGCATTACACAACGACAAGGAGCTCCAAGCACCGGGCCCTGAGACAAGAACCAAGGTTTCCTCCACATGTCAAAGGCACGTAAGCATTGCCGCATTACCTTGATCATGCAAAGCAGATTTCCCCTCAGGGAAAATCCCTTGGTCTTGAGCTACCACTGTAGGGGTCTCATGTACAGCAGGCCAAAAGGTATGACATTGGACGCAGCTGACGTCAAACCCAACAGTCTCTGAAACTGTTTGACAGTGAGTGACCGGCCTTCTCTCACTCTCGCGACTGCCGTGAGGACCGACTCGATCTGAACAGGAGACAAACGTGCCTGCATTGTAGTCGAATCCCACACCACACCCAGATAAGTTGTTCTATGTGCTGGAGAAAGCACACTTTTCTTGGCGTTTAGTCTTAACCCCAGTTCTTTCATGTGGGCGAGAACGACATCTCGATGCTGAGCCACCAAGTGCTCCGGATGAGCTAATATCAACCAATCGTTGATATAATTCGATATGCGAATGCCCTGGAGTCGCAGAGGAGCCAGAGCAGCATTCACACACTTGGTGAAAGTGCGGGTTGAGAGTGCAAGGTCGAACGGAAGAACCCGATATTGGTAAGCTTTGTCCCTGAAAGCAAACCTCAGGAGCTTCCTGTGTTGGGGAAGGATGGATACATGGAAGTATGCATCCTTCAGATCTATCGTGACAAACCAGTCCTCGGACCTGATCTGAGACACAACCTGTTTGAGTGTGAGCATCTTGAACTTCAGTCGCATGACTAAGTGGTTCAACAGACGCAGATCTAGAATCGGACGCAACCCCCCATCCTTCTTTGGAACAATGAAGTACAGACTGTAAAACCCGGACTCTCTGTTGCGTCGAGGGACCACCTCGGTGGCCTCCTTCCTCAAGAGAGTGTCTACTTCTTGTTCCATGACCAGAGCCTGCTCGGGGCCCACAAGAGTGGGAAACCCCCCCTAGAATAGAGGCGGACAAGAAACAAATTGTATTCTGTAGCCTCTTTCTACAGTGTGCAGGACCCATTGAGATACATTGGCAGAAGTTTCCACGCTGCTAGATGGTTTACTAAGGGAATCAGTCTCTCGAGACTGACCTCTGGTGTACTTAGGGCAGCTAGCTACTTTAGGAGCTGTTACGTGTCTGGGCTGACACTGAGAGCTGTGTTCGCTGGAGACCGCTGTGCCCTGAAGCACCAAGGGTGGCAGGGTTGACAGACCGATCTCCTGAGGGCACCAAGGAGAGCCGGGCACCATCTGATGAGTCTTCCCCAGAGGTGCCTGCCCTCAGAAGTCCTGAGCCACTGGCGTCAGGGCTTCTTTGGCTGAAGCTTTCTTGGCAAGAATGACGGTCCGCAGATCCGGCTTCTGCTTCAAAGACTTCGGCCAGGACCGCCGCTCCGACTCCAGATCTGTTTGGGGGGAGCACGAGAGGCGACGCTCCGTTTCTGGACCTCTCTGTACGAGGAGCTGGTACATGGCTGGGGCTGATCCTGCCCAGCAGCCCCATGAGCCAAGGGAGGAAGCGCTGGAATGTCGCCGCTTGCTTTTTGGCCTCCTGGAACCTGTCGATGACAGTCTCAACAGCGTCGGCGAACAGGCCAAAAGGTGCCAGCGAGGCGTCCAGCAGGAAGACTCTGTCCTTCTCTTTGATATCGGACAAGGTCAACCACAGATGCCGCATCCATGTCCACCATGGCTGCCATAGACCGCCCAATAGCTCTGGCGGTCTCCTTGGTGGCATGGAGGGACAAATCTGCGACTTGGCGCAGCTCTTGGATATCGTCGGCCTTAACATCCTCACAATCGTCAAGCTCTTTCAAAATGTCGGCTTGGTAAGCCTGCAACACCGACCATGGTGTGCAAGCAAGCCCCAGCCTGACCTGCCGCCGTGTATGCCTTACTCACCAAAGCCGAAGAAGTCTGAAGCAGCTTGGTTGGTAATGCCAGGACCTTAAGGGACGATGCAGTACCGGGAGACAGATAGCACCGCACGTGCTTTTATACTTTTATATTTGCCATCACGCCTATTTACAGACACAATGTAAATAAGACATTCATTGTGTGACAGACATATGACAAAATGCCTGCCTGAGTAGTCACGTAAACCAGTGGTTTTCAGTCCTGGTCCTGGGGGCCCACTGCTCTGCACGTTTTGTATGTCTGTCTAATCAGACACACTAAGTGCAGTTCATGGAGCTCTCTCCTGATGACCTGAATCAGATGTGTTAAATAAAGGAGACATACAAAATGTGCAGAGCAGTGGGTCCCCAGAACCAGGATTGGCGTAAACGCACTAACATGCACAACTCTGAAGAGGATTTATGCTCCTCAGCTGGTAACTCGACCTCACAGTGAAAGCCCTGCACAATTTATTGCAGCTTATTTCTTGTTTTCTATTGAGAAAAAAAAAACTATTACAAACAACAATAAAAAATATATATTATATAATTTTTACTGTAGCTCTTTTGGAAAAAACGCATTAACCCAGGGCTGTCCAAACTCGTTCCTGGAGGGTCAGTGTCCTGCAGAGTTTAGCTCCAACTTACCTCAACACACCTGACTGAAAGTTTCTATGCCTAGTAAGAGCTTGAAAAGTTTCCCGACCCCTGATTTATGGGGGTTAAATCAAATTAATCCTTCTGGATGATTTTCCAACATTATTTGAATTTGAAAATAAATTATTTCTGTCCACATTGGTCCAGTTTTAATTTATTTAATTTAAATATTCAATTTTAATTTTAAAATATATTTGTCTGAACTGTAAAAAAGCTAAATAAAATAAAAATTCTGGTCCTTGGGATCCTCGGCACTGTATTTTGTATGTTTCTCTTTTCTGACCCAGTTTATTTCATTTAGCCCTTTACAAATGAGCCGATGATCTAAATCAGGTGTGTTGAATAAGGGAGACATATGTGAAGACAAATGCAATTTGTGACCTTTTTTGAGAAAAGTTTGCTAAACTGTAAAGAAATCACATTTTCAGTGCTGTTGCGCTTATCTTTTTATTAAGTATAATTCATTAACATGCAATGGGACATGCAAAATGGCTGAAAAACTGATGAAAACCAATGCTCTAAAATAGTTTTAGTTTAGGTATTTTTAGCATTAAATAAAAATCTGTCAATTAAAGTGATGAATCTAGTTCGATATAATATCAGTAGTTTTACAGACAGCCTATATTTACAGTTTACAGACTTCCCGGAGATGTTGCCAAAAATATATGTTTAAGCACGTACTCGGATGTGGAAGTTTTGGGAATACCCCGAGAAGTTTGTTGAGGTTTGGCCCGGAGCAGGCTGACTTCAGAGGGGGAGCGAGGGCGTGTTTGTGTGAGGGGCTAAACGCTGGCTCCGGGATCCGGGAGGGATTTACCACAGTCTGAGGAGAATAGACACACTTTTGGAGGACGGGTGACCCAGATTCCACACACAGGTAAGAGCCAGTTTCTTAAAACTTCCGCAAATATGTATAAATGCAGTGATTTCGTACAAGAGTAGAAAAGCCGTCGTAGTTGTAAAAAAAAGAGAAGAAGAATTTCGATAGACGGAAGAAGCTGCCAAATTCATCAATGGAAATCAATTCATTCATTCATCATTCACTCACACACACACTCGTCCTGTTTGTAGTCCAACATTCTGTCTGTTTAGCATCACATCAGTGCTTTAATGTGAATGTAACGTCTTCTGAGTGAGTGAAGTGAAGAGAAGAAGAATTTCGATAGACGGAAGAAGCTGCCAAATTCAACAATGGAAATCAATTCATTCATTCATCATTCACTCACACACTCGTCCTGTTTGTAGTCCAACATTCGGTCTGTTTAGCATCACATCAGTGCTTTAATGTGAATGTAACGTCTTCTGAGTGAGTGAAGTGATTTTATATGAAATAATTTCGTCCCATCTCTTAAAAGTTTGGCGTCAGTGCGTGACACCTGCACGTGTTTTGTAAACAAGTAGATTTATAACTTACTTATAAATGGGCTACGTTTAAACACTTTATTACTTGGAAGATTAAACTATTAACAATCTAAGATACTGTTAATGGGTTTTCCTTATAATTCATATCAGTGCTCGACAGGGTTGGGGAGTAACTAGTTAAACCTGTATTTAACCTCCGAACAATCTCAAAGTAAAAAGAGGTGCTCAAGTCAGATTTTTTTGGTGGCTGCACTTTAATATAATATTATTATAATCTTAATTGAAGTGATGAAGGAATGAGTTTGAAAGTCTGACAGTAATTAGTGTCGAGTACTACTGTAAGGTGCCTGGTTTAAGTGTTTCAAAAGGATTAATAGTTGAAAGCATTTGTTAGAAATGTAGAAAAGTAATCAAACGTAGCCTAATCAGTTACATTACTTTAATAAAGTAATTGAAATGGTTACACTGCTTATTACATTTTAAATAGGGTAACTTGTAATCTGCAACTTATTACATTTCCAAAGAAACCTTCCTAACACTGGTGCTCGATTAATAAAGCCAATTTTCCCTTATGAAAACACATACTATTTATATAGACCACAGTATATACTGTATTTGTATGTGATACATTGTCATTCAGGCATGTTTAAGTGTCACTAAATGCTTTTTGGGCAACTGTATGCAATTGATTTAGTAGTTTTTCCCCATCCATTTTATTACCGTTGTTTTATGTGAGTCTTGTGTTTTATGTAATCTACAGTAAGTGCACAGGTATTGTTGGATTGGCTACTTTGAATAAACTATATGTCGTTTTATGTACTGATTCGTAACGTCATGCCGGTTCATTTGGGTGTGTTTTTCTCAATTATGTACTGAGGCAAGGGTGTGCTTGCTGTATGTCAAGGAAATAAAACTGTACAATGCTGCCAGCAAAACTGAGTGCCGTTGAGATGCACTGCTGTAGAACAAGAGCCAGTTTTGGCTGCCAAGCAGAAGATTGGTGGAGAATTGTAGATGTTGTGCATGTCTAGTCATGCTGAATAAGCTTGTGCTGGTGTAACACATTCACACAATCCAGAATTCATACGTTTGTTTTGTAGTCAGGTTGGTGTTGGTAGGGAAAAATGCTTTAAAATGACTCATAGTTTGGGAGTAACACAAAAAGCCATGAAAGCAAAAGCAACCTGTAGGATGAGACATGTTGCGAGGTGTCTTCAGGAAACAATTCCGATATTTGACAGTAGCGATGTAGTAACATACTTCCACTGTACAGGCTGACATAGTTACATTTCACTGTATATTACATCAGACCTAAGAACACATCACTGCTTTTCCACATTTCTCTACTGCTCCCAGACAGTTAATTTGTCTGCTGTGATGCAACACCCTCCCCGTTCCCTCTTCCCTCTCCTCTCCAAACCTTTTCAGTGTGTTTCTGTGTTCTTCATGCTTCATTTGGGAATCACAGCCAGAGAACACCCGGGCCATTCTCTCATTCACCCCCTCCTTCATTCATTAAGCATTGGGCAAGCGCTCAGGCGATCTCCTGCGCTCTCATTCCCTGCCTCCTCATTATATTCCCTTTCAAATCCTCTGGAATGCCACTTCCAGAGTCCACTTGGTATGACATCATATCCTGTGAACCTGCCATTTCACTTCCCTCTTTTCAGCAACAGCCAGAGGTACGTTATTATTTAAAGGTTACTCATCTGTCTTAATTGGGTTGTTTTCATTCCAGTGTTATTATTGTTAACTAAAACTATTAAAAATGATTTCCGTTAACTGAAATAAAGCTGAAATAAAATAAATATAAATATTATGGAAAAACTTAAATGACAATCAGAAATATTGTCTTTGAAACTAAATGAAATAACAAATAATAAACAAAACTAATAATAAAGACAAAAGCACAAACAATATTTACTAAAGAACACATGGACAAGACAAATAACAAAATGACTAAAATGAAAAAAAAAAAGAATATAATTGAAACAAAATATAAAAATAAAAGATAATTCAAAATATAAATAATACTACATACACTATTAACAAATAGTATATAAATGCTACTAAAATAACACTGTTCACTTAAGAAATGTATCTCAGATTTTTCTCCTAAATTTCTTTAAGGAAAATCAAAATAGACGCATGATATGTTTGTATATATTGTAGTGTAGTACTGTACAATAAATATGGATGTTACAATTCATATTAAAATGTCTGAATTTGCATCTGAACATATAGTGCCCTTGCGCTCCGGGCGTCCCGAGTTCGAGTCCCAGCTCGTGGACCTTTCCCGATCCCACTCCCCTCTCTCTCTCCTACTTGCTTCCTGTCACTGCTATAATGTCCTATCAAAATAAAAATGCCAAAAATAAAAATCTAAAAAAAAAAAAAAAAAAAAAAAAGTCAAAAACTAGAAGAAACATTTACCTTTTCTTGAGGTAAATTTGAGAAGCGTTTGAAATGCTTCTACTGAATAAAATCAATAAAAAAAAAAAAAAAAAAAAAAAAAAAAAAAAAAAAAAAAAAAAAAAAAAAAGTCTAAAACTAGAAGAAACATTTACCTTTTCTTGAGGTAAATTTGAGAAGCGTTTGAAATGCTAGTAAAAGTTTTCAGTTAATATCTTTGAGACAACGAGAAACAATTGCAATATCAAGGAGATCTCATTAAGGTTTCCTTTCAGTTCTTGTGATTCTCCATCCTCACATGACTGAACAGCATTTTCACTCACCTACATTCCGTCTCCTAATGGTGAGGTTTTACCTTACACACTTGGGATCTGATGTTCATCCTGGTTCCTGAATGTCTTTAGGCTAACAATGTGCCTGTTGTGTCAGAGCCCTGGTTTTCTTGGCATTGTAAGAGGTTCAGACATCTTATGTGTGTGATTTGGTAATTTGGTTAAAAATCTGACTTTGCTCCATACACTTTATTGGTACCTAGTGAATTAATAATTTGTTGAACTATTGGGTGATTGATGATTGATAATGCAAGTGGATGGGAATCATGGCTTTGAGAGTCAAAAAACATACACAAACAAAACTAAATTAAACCCTGCGGCTCGTGGCGATACGTTGATGTGTAAAGACACGAAGCGATCGGTCTGTGCAAGAAACTGAAAACTATTTATATCGTTTTTTACCTCTGATTTTCACCGCAATGTCTGAACTGTCCTGAGCGCGTTTGCGTCTTCTTTTTCAGCCTGCATGTGAGTCGTCGTCGTCTTGCTTTACGGCGGATCGCAGACTTGTAAGTGCATTACCGCTTCACCGCAATGTCTGAACTGTCCTGAGTGCGTTTGCGTCTTCTTTTTCAGCCTGCATGTGAGTCGTCGTCGTCGTCTTGCTTTACGGCGGATTGCAGACTTGTAAGTGCATTACCGCCACCTATCTCTCAAATGGACCATTGACACTCTATTCTACAATCTCAATTAGGAGTGTCAATGGTCCATTTGAGAGATAGGTGGCGGTAATGCACTTACAAGTCTGCGATCCGCCGTAAAGCAAGAAGAAGAGGACCCGTCAGGCGCCGGCTGTTGAACGCGCTCAGGACAGGTCGGACATTGCGGTGAAAATCGGAGGTAAAAAACGATATAAATACTGTTCAGTTTCTTGCACAGACCGATCGTTTCGTGTATTTACACATCAGTGTATCGTCACGAGCCGCAGCGTCACCGTTTTCACAAAGTGAAATGAAAAAGCCTCAGGATGAAGGAAATGTAAATTCACATCTGTACAGTAGAGGGCGCAGCTCAAACAAACCTTTAATTTGTGCTGCCATTCTGGATTACATGAAGAAAAGGATGCAAGAGAAGAAAGTTCAACACTTGAGCGATAAAAAAAAAATGCAAGTGAGATGAGCAAATGCATGTTCACATTTAGTCTACAGTAAACGTCATGCACATATTTTGCAAACAAGTAGAGGCGTGCTCTCATAAATGCACAAATTGCTTAAAAATGGGCTACTTCATTACTTAAAAGTAGGGATGCACCGATACCACTTTTTCCAGTACTCGCCCGATACCGATACTTTTATTTTTGGTACTTGCCGATACCGAGTACCGATACCAATATTTTCAAAGCATTTGTAAATTTTTTAAATATTGGGTACAGAAACCAAAAGAGTATGTATAATGTTAGTTGGTTAACTTAATTTATCAAATAGATAGTCAAACCTAAATTTATTCAGACACCTTCAACATTTCTCACATTATCACAGTTTATTCGCTATAGTTTAGAAAATGGTAATAAAATATGACAAGAACTCTTGAGTTAAACTGTGTCAGAACAAATTCAGCTTGATAATGTCAGATAACTTTGATAGAAAGGTATGTAATGGATTACAATAAACCAAAAATTATTCATACAGCTGTCAATATTTACACAACTATCAATACTTTGTCGGGTGACCCTTAGCCTTAA